ATCACCTATTAAATACTCTTTTTTCAAAAAAAAAAAAAAATGAACTAGAATCTAATCAAGCCTCTACATCTAACTACCAATTTACAGGAAAAACAAGGGATAGAGGAACATGTCCAACTATATGGCAAGGATGTAATCAGCAAAATTGAAATGGAGGGAAAATCCATAAATCAAATGACCCAGTTTCTTCAATAAGTAAAAGGAAAAATAAGAGAGACAAAAAACCTATATATTAAAAGACCTGAGATAGCATCAACCAGCTAAAATGTATGGATCATATTTGGATCCTGATTGAAACAAATCATATTTAAAAAATTTGAGATGATCAGAGAAATCTGAACACTAAATGGATAGTTGATGACATTAACAAACTATTGTTGTTTCTTTTAAAGGAGGAATAATAGCTTTGCGGTTATTTTTTAAAAAATTAGTCATGACCTTTTTCAGAGATATTGAAATATTTATAGCTGAAATTATGCGTTGTCTGGGATTTACTTCAAAATAATTCAGGAGTTGGGAGGTAAGTGGAGCTATTTATTGCAACAAGATTGATAATTGTTGTAATGACAAGAACTGATCATTGTTATAGTTACGTGATTATTACTTACAGATTCGTGATACTATTCCTTCTAATTTGTATATATCTGACAGCATCAGTTTGAAATAGTTTTAAAGAGGGCGCCTGGGTGGCTCAGTCAGTTAAGCGACTGCCTTCGGCTCAGGTCATGATCCTGGAGTCCCGGGATCGAGTCCCACATCGGGCTCCCTGCTCTGCGGGGAGCCTGCTTCTCCCTCTCCCCCTGCTTGTGTTCCCTCTCTCGCTGTGTCTCTCTCTGTCAAATAAATAAATAAAATCTTAAAAAAAAAAAAAAAAAGAAATAGTTTTAAAGAGGAAGGGAAAAATTGCTCTTAGGCTGAACGCAGGGTCAAAGCTAAGAATTGAGGCTCAGAACTATGGGAATGCCTGAAATACCTGCTTGGCTCACTTAAAAAGCCCAGGAGTGGGGCGCCTGGGTGGCTCAGTCCTTAAGCGTCTGCCTTCAGCTCAGGTCATGATCCCAGGGTACTGGGATCGAGCCCCGCATTGGGCTCCCTGCTCGGCGGGAAGCCTGCTGCTCCCTCTCCCAAATAAATACAAATATAAATAAAATCTTAAAAATAAAAAAAAATAAAAAATAAAAAAGCCCAGGAGCTGGCACACAGTAGGCCTTTAGGAAGTGTTTCTTGAATGAGCAAACAAACATCTGGACATCAAAGTAGCACTACATATGCTCCTAATGCCTGAAATACATCCAACAACCCCAAATTTGGCAAGCCTTTGCGGAAGGTGGTGCTCCATACCATCACTTTCACCAGTGTCACCCTCAGTATGTAATTACATATTTAGTCTACTTTAAAATCACAATAACGGGGCACCTGGCTGGCTCAGTCAGAAGAACATGCGACTCTGGATCTTGGGGTTCGAGAGATTAGTTAAATAAATAAAACTTTAAAACATAACAATAACAGCCACTAACACACTGACTCAACACTTGCAATGTGCCCAATCCATGCTAAGTGCTTTATATGAATTATCTTGTTTAACCTTCATAACCGGCCCTTGAAGTAGGTGCCATTATTATTACGATTTTACAGACGATAAAACTCTGGACGGAGAGGTTACGTGGCACAGAGCCATGAAGTAGTAAGCCCATATTTGTAACTTTTACGTTACACTGATCTCTTACCGTCTTCCCCCTGCCCACACTGACCTCCACCACCGGATTATGAGGGTCAAGAGAACATCATTCAACAAAATATCTCAGCTCCTATCACAATGCCTGGCATAAAATAGGTGCTTCATAAGTATATGCTGGATGAATGAAAACATTCTAAGTAATACTGTATGATTTCTCTTTGTGTATCTCTGACCCACCTCATCTTCCCCACAATTTCCAGCACAAGACTCAGCCCCCAGGAGGTACTCTACATATCCAGAAACACTCAGAGTTAAAAAGTGCTTTTGTGACCACCCAACTCTGTCCCCTCAGTTAACCAAAGGATAGGACCTCTCCAGGTTTTTTCTCCTACCTCTGAGTATAAACAATCAAGCAAGATGGACAATGGAGAACATATGAGCTTTGGAGGTCCTAAAAGACTGAGTTCTAGCAGAAGAGGTCAGTAGCAGATGCCCTGCTGGAGTGAGATTCAGGGAGGAAGGCCCGGGGTGTGGTGGAGGGTATGCATTTGCCCTTCCTTGAAGAACACACCCTCTGCCCAGTGCCCTGTGCCTTCTGGGAACTATCCAAGACCTGAAACATCTTTGGAAATCTTGTCACTTCAGGACATACTTACAGATCTCACTAGGGACCAACGGCTTCCTTGGTCTCCCCTCCCCTCTTTCCTTTCCCCTGGAGATAGGGAAGCAAAAAAACACCCAGCAACAAAGGCCTCTGGTGTCATCTTCCAAGCAGCAAAGGACTTTCTGTAGAGGATAATGGGGTTTCTAGTCACTCCTGCTTCTGGCTATCCCCAGCCCCTGAAAGTCTTGAGCATCTCCAGCATATAGGGTCCCAAGAATCCCAAACCCTATGTCAAGAAACTTCTAGGAAAATAGCACAGACAACCACAGGAGCTGTAACTGGGTGGAGGGGATAACATTCTAGTCTAGCATGATCACAAGGGGGTGCTATTGGGGCTGGGCCTTGAAGGGTGGGAATCACTGGGCTTCGTGGGGATGAGACGGATACAGAAGGAATGGCAGGTGCAATGTAGTGAAAGCAAGAACTAACATTTATCTAGCATATACTCTGTGTTCGTTGCTGGGCTAAGTGTTTATATATAAAAGCTTGTTGATATCTCACCTTAGAAACAGGGGATGACAATATACCAGATGAAGAATCCAAGGGCCCAGAGGTGTTAAATAACTTGTCTAAGGTAATCCAGTAATTGGTAATCCAGGGCTGGGATTCAGACTGATTTTTCCAACCCCAGGGTCCACCATACTATGTGCACCAAGAATTGGGGCGGGGCGGGCGAGACGGTTTGTGTGAGGGAAAGGAGTAAGTGTAGAAGAGCAAGGGAATCCTTGAATGTGACCCTAAAGGTCTAGATGGGGTGCCACAAGGCAGGCCATGTGCTGAGCTGTGTTGCAGGAGGAATGGCCTAACACATTTATGGAGGATAATGGTGGAGGGGTTGCTGGGAAGATGGAACCTGGTGCCCCCAGAAGCTCTACAGGAGGAGGAAGGACAGGCAGCAGCACGAGTGAGGAAAACCTAGAGGAGAAACATTACCAAATGCCAGTTGGTAATCAATGGTGTTCACCTTCAGATTTAAGCAAAGAAAGATCTCCAGTCCCAGTCAGTCCACAAAACTCGTATTAAATGCCAACTGTGTGCCAGGCCCTGCCCTAGGCAGCCTCCCTCTGTTTCTCCTCCTTTTCCCAGTGAGGAAAACCAGGTTGCTGGCAGGCTCCTACAACTCGGCACCCTAAGGTGCTCTCCTCTTCTTCCCATCTCCACTCTCATAAGGCAGACAAACAGCTTTTCTCGGATGTTTATGTTAAACTCATAAAGTCCAGAATTCCTGCATTTTAACTTCAATAAGTTTTAAAATTTAAAAGTATTTATTTCCACTTTACTGGTCTAGCTTACAAGATAAACAATAACTTATTTTTAAAAACTAAATCCTCTTTTAACCTCAGTAAGTTTTTTTAAGCACTGGAATATGCTTTAATTAATATTCTAAAAAAGAAAAACACTGGAAAAGTGAACCCCAATAAGTTTTTGATGAGAAAATTTTCTCCAGAGGGCAAATCGTCTCCCACTCCAGCTACCAACCATGGAGCCAAAAGTACCTCTGCTCAAGGGTATCTCTCGAGGGTCAGAAATGGGAACTTACATCCCAACCACAATGCCCTTCGTGATCACCAGGGGAAGTGGGGACTCAGCGACATCTCTAAATCAGTAAATCTGATGCAGCTGTGCCTCAGGTAGTCAATCTTAGTTTGGAGCTGAAGAAAGGGGAACTTAGCTTCTCATTCTTGTGCTTTAAAAAAAAAAAAAAAAATCCTGTTCCAACAGACAACCTTCTCACTGAGGAGGTGGGATTTATTAGCCAAATACAACTTGGCCTTGGAGGGCAACCTCTTGCTCTCCGAAATCACTGACTTCAGGAAACTCTGCTCAGCCAGTGGTTCGGCGATGGGAGCAAACTCTCACTAGGCTGGCTCAGCAATTCCCCAGGAAGGTTCACCCCGCCGGCCAAGACTAAGAGACAGCGATCCCAGATGCCTTGGTGTATGTTGGGCGGGAAGCCGGGGGCTTTTCCGCTTAGGTTCTCTAAGCGTTGCCACGGGGCCGTTCTTTGACTACGTCGGGGTAAAGAGGTTTGTATGGGCACTTCTCGCACCACCGATTAACCACGCTCGAGAGACCCTCTTTTTCAAACTATACGACAAGCATAAGGGGGGAAGAGGCGGCCCCAGCAGACGCTAACCACTGCGGTTCTAAAAGCCTTGGTTGCGTCTGGGCCCGTGCGGAGCCGCATCTGGAGGGAGATTCCCTTCCGGGGCGCCCGCCATCAGCCCCTGGATTCCCAGCAAGGCCTCTCAAGCCCTTCGAGAACCCCCGCCTCCGGCTTCCCCGCCCAGATCTCGGAACCCTCAGGCCCGGGCCAGTCTCTTTGCCGGCCTTTCAAGGCCCAGCCGCCCGGCCCCGCGGCTCACCCTCGAGCGTCTCGCACTGCACCAGATTGAGGTAGTCCGCCTGGCTGAGCACCCCCGCCTTCAGGCCGCGCACCAGTCCCTCCAAGTAGCCGTTGTCCACGTTGAAGTAAAGCTCCGGGAAGAACGACATGGCTGCGGCGGGGGAAGCGAGATCGGAGAACCCCGATCGCCGGGTGGAGAGCTCGTTCCAAGATCAGCTGACTCGGCGCCAGCCGCAGGCTGTCAAGCGGGTCAGGTGATGCGCGAGCGCCTCACGTGACCACAATGGGGCGGGGCTCTGAGTGGCGCCCGGCTTCCGGGTGGTTTCGTCCGAAAGCATTGCGCAGGTGTGGGCCCTCTGGCGCCTGCGCGACTAGGGTAGGCGTACCTCTCGCTACCAACTTGGAGTGTCTGAGGCCGGCCGCGTGGTGGCGCACGTGGCCGCGGGGATTCGATTGGGCCTTCTAGCTTTACAACTCCCTCTGGGTTAGCGGGCACCGAGGCGCAGGCCGAGTAAAGATGGGAGTGAGCGGTGCTTCTTATGCTTGGAAATATTCCAGACTGTTGAGTCAGTCTTCCCCCGAAGGGAACTACGGTTCGAGGGGCAGGCTTCGCCGAGGTCACAGGTCGAGTTAGCTGCAAGCAGGCCCTGGAGCCTAAAGCTTGCTGGCCAGCCAGGAGTTACAGCCCTTGTATGCACTGCGCGCTGCACCCGCATTTATTGTGCAAGATTCTGGAGGGCTGGAGCCCGGCCCTTCCGCCTCCCCACCGACGCCTAGCACCGTAAGAGCATGCATGTAAGTGATTCAGATGATGGGTAGCCTAGACCCTTGGGAAGGGGTGTGTGTGATTTCTTGGCTTGGCCGCAACCCCATCCCTACCGTGACTTCCATGACCTCCCGCCTCCGACGGCCACGTTCGAAATAACGCCACAGCCTTGGGGTTGGTCCCAGCCTTTATTCGCTACCCCGTGTACAGCCCCGACCCCGACGTCGGCCCACTAGGTACGGCTGCAGGGGTTCATGGCAGTACCCAGCTTGCGGCAGTAGCAGAAGGCGTTGAAGAAACGGCAGTAGCACGTGGCACATGGGTCGCAACATGGTACCTGGTGTCCCAGACAGGATTCATGCAGCCTTACGCAGCGACGCGGGGAGCGTGGCTCCCGGCCCTCCGGATCAAGTACCTACAGGAGTGAGGGAGCAGGACTGCAGGCATGGGCCTCTGAATGCGGGTCCAGGGATGTCACCTGCCTCAATGCAGGCAGGATGGCCACGGAGCATGGAGAGAGTAGTCTGCAGTATCACCCCAGGTGAGGGGGTCATGAGGTGGAGAGAGGGGCTTCTGCCTGATGTCCCTTCCCAAAGCCTGTGGTCGTCCCCCTTTTCCTGGGCAGTTACCTCTGCCAAGGCCTCGGCCTCCTGCAGCCGAGCTTCTTCTGACTGTTCTGCAGTTGTCCTTTTCAGCGAGGACTGTAGGCCCAGGCCTGGAACAGATGATGTGAGGGCAGAACCCCCTCCATCCCCATGCATAAAACACCCACCTCCGAGGCCTGGGACTGGGAAGGGGGAAGGAGGGCTCATATCCCGCAGGATACTTTGTGGCCAGAAGGTCTCCAGGTTCCACCCAGCTCCACCCCTGCCCATACTGACCTGGGAGCTCTGGGAACTGGGCCTGGTCAGGCCTTCTGATGCCTTCCATGGGGGCCAGGCCCATCTGGGCCCCCTGCATGGGGGGCAGTGCCAGCAGCAGGGCACAGCTGAGCAGCACTGCAGGAAGCATGACCTGGCCAGCAGTAAGACACACCACTTAGTCCTTCCTCATCCTTGATGCACCCTCTAGGTGCCCTACCCCAGACAGAGACCTCCCAGAGGTCAGGAGTCTCTGCCCAACCAGAGGACTTACCTCTGCTTGCTGGATCCTTGCCTGGAGAGTTTCTGGCCACTCCGGCGCCCTCAACTTATATGGCAGGGTCTAATGAATGCCCCACACGTGACTGCCGCCTGCAACCAGGACATAAGGGGCCCTCCCCAGAGGGTGGGGGCACAGCTCAGGCCTCTCTCCCTGAAACCTGCGCTTTTGGATGCTCTATAAGAGGTGTGCCCATCTCCAATTTGGGGGTGAGGTCCCCAGGTGCCAAAGTTGGGGAACAAGACAGGGTACCCAGAACCCCCAAATTTCTACAGGACAGGGACCTGGGTAGGGGTGGGGAGGTTGGACAGGCAGGAACCATTAGCAGTAACAAGGCAGGCAGCCCTGAGATCTTAATTTAATTTGTGGCCCCAGAGATGCTCACTCAGACCCTGTGTGGCATGTTGTTTCCTTTGCTTCCAGGAACTTTGGTCAAGGGCATTGAAGAGGGTGATGGGCCAGTGGCCAGAGTGGGGTGCAGACTTAGATCCTGGGGTTTTTTTTTGAAGGGAAAAGGGAGGGGAGAAGCCCACTTAGCCAAAACCAAGCCCTCCTGCCTCCATCCCTAGTCCTTCCTCCCCTCCCCTTTGTCCCTCCAGGCTTCTCCAAGACCCCCACCCCTGCTCCTTCTCCCAAACCCTTTTCCGCCCGGGGTTCCTGGAAGCCAAGGAGGCAGAACGGACTGTTCCCTGGGTGGGCGAGCAGCTTCAAAGTAAAAAGCTTTCAGGCTGCCTGTCTCATTAGTGCTAATGACTGTTGCCTTCCGCCCTGTGTTGTCAGGCCTGTGCCCACGCCTGGTCTCATCAGCACGAGGCCAGGGTGAAGACTGCCCTTTTGTGAAGGTGGGAGGACACACAGGACCCCACCTGCCCCTGCCTTCCCTCTCCCCTCTGGAGGACTCTTTAACACACCCTTGCCCGTCAGGGAAAGGGGTACAGGCTGAATTACCTTCAAGACCTCAGTGTACAAATTGAGCTGCCTGAGACAGTAGGAAGATGAGGCTGTTGGGGTTTGCAGTCCAGGTTCACACAGGCTATTCTGCCCAGGACGAGGCCCGAGGAATTCCTCCCAGCAGCGGGTGGAAACCATATGTTGTCATCTGACAGCCTTTGGCCTTCAGCACCAACAGTCAGTCTCGGGGTTCAGTTGCATGGGGAGGGGCCGCTCTGCAGATTGTGGGGCTGTGGCAACTCCATTCACAGACGGGCACTGATGTCTGTTCTGATATCAGGCTAGCACTGGCCTCACTTGTGGTTGGCCCAGGAACTCAGAGGGTCACATACTACTGCCCAGAGGGAGGAGGCTGGGGAGTGAGGGAAAGCCTCTCTAAGGAGGTGGTCCCAGGATAATCCAGCAAAGGGCCATCCCCGTTTCTCCCCTGACAATGCTACTAGCTATTTTGGTGACAAATAGCCACAAAGTGGACCTGGTGTCAAAGCCTCCCTGGCAACTGACATTGACCTTTCTTCCCCAGAGGCTAGAGCTGGGCCCCGACGTCTACCCCAGGGCCTTCTCATCTCAGGGTGGTGCAGGGTGAAGGTATCAAGCAGTAGATATGCTTCCATCTTGGTGGGGCCAGTGGGGGTTCAAGAAGGGCAATGCAGGGGCGCCTGGGTGGCTCAGTTGGTTAAGCGACTGCCTTCGGCTCAGGTCATGATCCTGGAGTCCCGGGATCGAGTCCCGCATCGGGCTCCCTGCTCGGCGGGGAGTCTGCTTCTCCCTTTGACCCTCCTCCCTCTCATGCTCTCTGTCTCTCATTCTCTCTGTCTCAAATAAATAAATAAAATCTTTAAAAAAAAAAAAAAAGAAGGGCAATGCATCAAATGTACCTGAGGCACTTTCCCCAAATCCCTGGCCCCTGGCCCCATCCTTGGAGATTCTGGCTGAGGAGATGGAGGTGGGGAGCAGAGACTGCAGGTGGATTTTGGAAAGGTGCCCCAGGTGAGTTGAGGTGGAGGCTGTGAGCACTTGGCTGGGCCTGATCGGCATCCATGCTAAGAACAGTTCATGTTTGGAGGTGGTGGGAGTGCTCATCCCATCCAGGCGCTCAGTGTCTGCTCATCTACAGAGCAATGACTGTCTTCCCCTGTGTGTGTGCGGGGGATGACATGGGCAGTGATGGACAAGGGCTGAAACACTCCCAGGGGCAGCCCCGGTCCCTAGTCAGGTCCGGTGGGCAAGACAGTCGAAAGCACCAACCATCAAAACACAGTAGGATGATGAGAGAAGTAGAAATGTTGGCTATTTGATGACATTAAGGAATAATTGTTAATTTTTTAAGTTGTGATAATGGTTTTGTGGTTCCAAGTAGCTTTTTTTAGAGAAATATAATGAAGTATTTACTGATAAAATGATGTGAAATAATCCAAGGGAGGGGGAATAGCAGGACATGATATAGATGAAATAAAATTGTTCATGAGTTGGTAATTTGTTGAAATTGGGTGATGAATTCACGGGCTTCGTTATCCCATGACTGCTATCCTTGTGTAGGTTTGAAAATCTTCATAATAAAAATTAAAAACAAAGAGAATTACCTGAAATGAAATGGGATAAATGCTTTGGTAGAAAAATGCCCCAGGAGCTTGTAGGACTAGGAGGGGCATCTACCCCAGCTGAGGGAGGAGCAGGAAGTTGGCTGGGGAAGGCTTTCTGGGAGAGGAAACTTTTACTCATTGATGAAGCTTGAGTAAGAGTCAGGGGTGGAGCCACACTAGGGACAATGTAAGTTTTCTGGACCCATGATTGGCACATGGTTTACCGAGCTGCCTAGTTCTACAGCTTAACACTGGTACATGCTCTGCTCCAAGCCTGGTTCCCACCGGACGAGCCCCAGCCTGTTGAGCAGTCAGTAGACGCTTTTCTCCCCCTTCCCCGACCCGCCCAGGGTCAGAGAGTTGGCTACTCCCAGAGTTGATTCAGTCAGTGAGTCAATCAGCAAACATCTAGAGCCACCTCTACATTGTATCACTGCTGTGAGTGTGCACAGGCTCAGACTCATAGCCTCATAGCCTCATAGCCACAAGAGCCCAGGAGCTCTCCTGCCACCCAGCTGCAGTCCAGAAATCGACATTTGTTTATATCCTTTCCCACCCTGTCCTCCTGCCCTCCAGCACTGTGTCACCACTGAATTAGCCCAAAACATTGCCTGTGGGTTTCTGGTCATAGCTCTTCCTCTATATCTATGTCCATATCCATATCTATATCTGCATCTCTATCTAAAGTGAAATTTCCGTTGACTTATCAAATTTTATTTGTTTTTGCAAATAACCAATTTTTGGCCCGATTTATCAAATTTTGTTACAATTAAGTTTCTGCCTTCCTACGATTTTCTATTTCCCTTGGGTTTGTTGATCCTTACATTTATCTTTCCTCCCGATGAACGCAGCTGCCTACAGTTGGTAGTGTATAAAAGCTCCCCGCCCCCCCAGCCCGTTTCATCTGCTAATAAGTATAAATACTACGGGGGTGATTTTACTGGTCAGGAACTGATGTTCCCAGGATCATGCTTGTTGACAAAAAGACCTTCAGAAATGTTCTTCGCGTTGGATTTGGGAGACCTGGGGGGAGGCAGTGCCTACTTGGTGAGGCTAGGGAGGGACCCAAACGTAGGGACCCTGACTTCAGGGAGAGGAAGAGGAGAATGTAGTTGCTCTGTGCGGGAGATCAAGTATGAGGACAAGGAGGGGGGTTTGACCCCGACCTCTCCCCCTTTCCCTCCTCAAGGTAGTCCTCACCTCCAAGGGCACTGTTCCTACTTTGTCCAGCAGGGGGCAGCAGAGCACCCACTGGCTCTCCCAATCCAACTTTGTTCTGAAAACCAGACCCCCTCCCAGCACACTGCCCTTGCCCCTGTGGCTCATCTGTAGGACTTCCAAAAGGCAGAGGTTGCCTGGGGAGGTGTGGTCCCCTCAATTATCCGGGGAGGGGGAATCAGGATGGATGGGGGTTATTTCAGGCTGCTGTCTTGAGCCCTAAGATGGGAGGGATTCCTCCGTGATCAGGTGATCCTAGAAGAGAGAGTCATGTTTGCTGCCTGAAGGCCGAATGCCAGCCCTTGCCATTCTCCCATTCATGCAAGAACAATTTACTGAGTGCCTGCTACATGAAAAGCGTTATGCCAAGGCTTCCAGACTTGGAGGGTAGGTCAGAGGCTGTGGTGTCCTGAAACTCCTGATTTTGAGGTCAGACAGGCTTTGTGGGCTTTCCTGCTGCAGTGAAAGTGTAGAATGGAGCCAAACCAAGGGAAGGTGGAGCAAGGTACAGAGATAGCTGATGGAGAGACTGCAAGGGGGCTCAGGCCCAGAGACACCTTTTACCCTCAGGCCTTACTCTAACTCCCAGTCCCCCCTCCCCCTACCATCCTCACTTTCAGTGCTGGAAGTGGGCCCTTCATTAAGGGTCCCCAGAGCAACTGAGCTATGGCTGGAGTGTTTAGAGGAAATTTCACAAAGGCCCAGGGGTGCCAAAGACAAGTAGGCCCAGCTAGTCTGGTTCATAGGATGTGGCTTGCAGTCTGGGTGCTTGGGCCCTGCCGGTATGGCAAAGGCCATCCTAAACTCCAACCCCAGGCCCCTCTGAAGACATCTACAACCCAGCGTCAACTGCCAGATGCCTGCAGAGGTAGCCAGTCCTTTCTCCCATCTGCCAGGCTCCACCTTTCAGTGTGAAATATTCTGTTTCTAGGGGGGTTGCAGCACATCACCTTCTGTCTCAGGGTGATTTCTAACTGTCAGCATGTTCAAACAGGCAGACATCAGCCTCCGCACTCACAGGAAGCCCACACAGTGTGGTGAGGGGATTGTTCCATTCCAGGTGATGAGAGGACCCCAGAATTTAAAGATTGGTTATTTGTTTATTTATTTATTTATTTATTTAATTGACAGAGAGAGAGAGAGAGAGAGCGCACAAGCAGGGGGGAGCGGCAGGCAGAGGAAGATGAAGAAGCAGGCTCCCGGATGAGCAGAGAGCCCAACGCAGGGCTGGATCCGAGGACTCTGGGATCACGGCCTGAGCCAAAGGCAGATGCTTAACTGACTGAGCCACGCAGGCATCCCGAGAGGACCCCTGAATTTTACAGGATCTCTGGGTAAGGGCACTTTGAGTCCCCATCAACTCTTCACAGAGGCATGGCACTGTTGGGCTGGGAAGGGGGTGCCCAGGATGTCCCCTTCATTGTTCCTAATCTATCCCCATAGAATGGAGCAACCCAACTCCCTGGGGATATTCAGTGGCTCAGCTAAAGCCCGGGAACAAAGGTGTTTTCACAACAGGAACCGTTGGGCTACCTAGGAATGATTCTTATCCTAGGAATGACTCTTTCTTTCTTTCTTTCTTTCTTTCTTTCTTTCTTTCTTTCTTTCTTTCTTTCTTTCTTTCTTTCGGCTCCACGCCAAGCATGGAGCCCAATATGGGGCTCAAACTCACAACCCTGAGATCAAGACCCATGCTGAGATCAAGAGTCAGATGCTTAACTGACTGAGCCACCCAGGCGCCCCAGGAATTACTGTTTCTGCTAAAGCCCCAGGAGCTGTGCAACCTGCTCATCCCTCCTGCCACTCGGGTTCTGTGCAGGTAAGAACAGAGGCTACAGAACTCTAGATATAGGCATGGAGATGCTGCCTAAGGCCCTGGGCACAGGGGTGCACTGGTACCTGGCTTGACAGACTCAGGGTGAGCCCAGGGTCAGCTAGAGAAAGCAGCGAGAGCTACGGCAGCTCCCAGAGTCCTCTGGACCCCCTCCTTTCTGCTGTTACCCCTTCCCATCCCTTTTGCCTCCAGCTGGGAAGCAGGCCTGGGAGGTAGACATATAAGAGCTGGGAGAGGGTGGAGTCCCCCGGGGAGTGGTCATCTGGGGACCTTGGTTGGAAAGGATAACCTTCTTGCTTAAACCTCTGGAGCACAACTCTCACCCCAGCACCAAGGCCCAGCCCAGCATGTGAGGAGGAGCTCACAGGGTGCCCCTCCGCGAGCAGCCCTGCTGGCCACTTCCCAATTTTGCCCCAGTAGGCCCTGTGTAAACTGTCTCCACTACGTCCTAGGTAGGGGTCCTCCTCCACATCTCTGGCCAAAGCCAGACTTTGTGTCAGGATCTGGCATAGAAGCAAGTTTTCCTCCCTACCTCAGCCCTTTACCTGCTACAAGTTTATCCAATGCCTCACAGCAAGACTCCCATCCCATACATTTAATTCTCAGCAGAACATTGAAATAAACCATCCCCATTTTCAGAGCTCAGGCTTACAGCTTAAGTGACTTAGTTCTGATCGCTCACCTAAGAAGGGGCCGGCCTGCTTTCCTTTCCTCCTCACATGGCTCTGGGAGTGTTTTAGAGCTGGAGAAGGATGGTATGTGTATGTGCACGCACAGGTGCACGGGGGGGGGGGGGGCGGTGCGTGCACACACGCACATGCACGCACATGCTAGGGCCAGGGGGTTAGCAGACATGCTGCCCTACGGTGTCTCCCCACACACCTCTTGGTGGTGGAAACCATTCACCCACCTACAGAGCTCCCAGGAGGGGCACAGACAAAAGCAAGCAGCTGCCCCACCCCCACTCGACTCAGCCCCCATGAGGCTGTGAGCTCAGTCGGTGCCAGAGCTGTGCTGAGTGTCCTTATGCTCTTGGACACATTTCTAAATAATCTATGAATCAAAGAAGTCACAAGGGAAAACTAGAAAATGTTTCAAATTAAATGATAATGAAACACAGTATATCAAAACTAATGGGATGCAACTGAAGTCATGTGTGTATTTAAGTGCCTACATTAGCAAAGAAGAATGGTTGAAAATGAATTATGCAAACTTATGTAAGTGGTGAAATGGTGTTGGAGTAAGTAAGTGACTATCTGTTTTACTTGTACCTTGAAGCCTTCACAAAAATTAATTTCAGAAGGAGCATCAGCATAATTGTGAAGGTAAAACAGTGGGACTTCTAGAGAAACATAGGATATCTTTATAACCTTGGACTAGGCAAAGATTTCTCTTTTTTTGATTTCATTTATCTGACAGAGAGAGCACAAGAAGGGGAAGCAGCAGAGGGAGAGGGAGACGCAGGCTCCCAACTGTGGGGCTCGATCCCACACCCTGGAATCATGACCCGAGCTGAAGGCAGACGCTTAACTGATTGAGCCACCCAGGTGCCCCTAGGCAAAGATATCTTTCTTGGGCGCCTCGGTGGCTCAGATGGTTAAGTGTCTGCCTTCAACTCAGGTCATGATCCCAGGGTCCTGGGATCGAGTCCCACATCGGGCTCTCTGCTCCTTGGGAGCCTGCTTCTCCCTCTGCCTCTCTCTCTCTCTCTCTGTCTCTCATGAATAAATAAATAAAATCTTAAAAAAAAAAAAAAGATATCTTTCTTTTTTTTTTTAAGATTTTATTTATTTATTTGTCAGAGAGAGAGAGAGAGCACACGCAAGCAGGTGGAGAAGCAGGCAGAGGGAGAAGCAGATTCCCTGCTGAGCAGGGAGCCTGATGTGGAACTCGAACCCAGACCCCTGGGATCATGACCTGAGCCAAAGGCAGACACTTAACTGACTGAGCCGCTCAGGCGTTCCCTAGGCAAAGATTTCTTTCTTTCTTTTTTTTTTTAAAGATTTTATTTATTTATTTGAGAGAGAGAATGAGAGAGAGAGAGCACATGAGAGGGGGGAGGGTCAGAGGGAGAAGCAGACCCCCTGCTGAGCAAGGAGCCCAATATGGGATTCGATCCCGGGACTCCAGGATCATGACCTGCGCCGAAGGCAGTCGCTTAACCAACTGAGCCACCCAGGCGCCCCCCTAGGCAAAGATTTCTTAAACAAGACACAAATGGGGCTCTTGGCTGGCTCAGTTGGTGAAGTGTGCAACTCTTGATCTCGGGGTCATGAGTTCGAGCCCCATGTTGGGTGTGGAGCCTACTTTCAGAAAAAATAAAATAAAATATTTTAAAACAGAAACAAAAGACTAGACTCAGAAATCTCTCAGCATCAAAGGTTGATAAATTAGACTTCATTAAAATTAAGAACTTATGGTCATTAGTTAAAGATATTTAAGAGGGGTGCCAGGGTGGCTCAGTTGGTTAAGCATCCGACTCCTGATTTCGGCTCAGGTCATGTTCTCAGGGTCGTGAGATCAAGCCGCATGTTGGGCTCTGTGCTCAGCATGGAGTCTGCTTGAGATTCTCTCTCTCCCTCTGCCCCCCCCCCATTCATGTGTGCTCTCTCTCTCTCTCAAGATAAATAAATAAAATTCAAAAATAAATAAAGAAATTTAAAAAATAAAACCATAACGAGATACTGTTATATACTAATTACATTGGCTAAAATTAATAAGATTGACAAAACCAAGTGTTGGTGAGAATATGAAGTAACTAGAACTGGTAAGAGGTAAGCTAGAAAACTGCAATATTCACTATAACTGCTACACCTGACCTATGATCCAGCAAGGTCACTCTTTGGTACAAACCCAGGAGAACTGAGTGTGATTTCTACTAAAATGCATGTATAGAATGTTCTTGGCAACTTTATTCATAATAGGTAAAAACTGGAAACAATCCAAATATCCAACACCAGGAAAATGGATGAATAATGATATATTCATACTGTGGGAAACTACACAGCAATAAAAACAATGAACTGCTGTACACAACGGGGATGAATCTCCCAGACATAATGTTGGATGAAAGATGACAGCCACAGGGATGTCTGGATGGCTCAGTCGGTTGGGCATCTGCCTTCGGCTCAGGTCATAATCCCAGGGTCCTGGGATCGAGCCTCATATTTTCCCTCCCTGCTCAGCAGGGAGTTTGCTTCTCCCTCTCCCTCTGCTGCTCCCCCTGCTTGTGCTCCTTCCCTCTCCCCCTCTCTCTCTGTCAAATAAATAAAATCTTTAGAAACACACACACACAGGGGTGCCTGGGTGGCTCAGTCGGTTAAGCGTCTGACTCTTGGTTTCGGGTCGGGTCATGATCTCAGGGTCATGGAATGGAGCCTCGCATTGGGCTCTTTGCACAGCACCGACTCTGCTTGTCTCTCTCCCTCTGTTCCTCCCCTCACACACACACTCTCCCCCTATCAATCTCTAAAGTGAATTTTAAAGATTTTTTTTTTTTTTTTTTTTTTTTTTTAAAGATTTTATTTATTCATTTGACACAGACACAGCAAGAACAGGAACACAAGCAGGGCGAGTGGGAGAGGGAGAAGCAGGCTTCCCGCCGAGCAGAGAGCCCGATGCGGGGCTCGATCCCAGGATCCTGGGATCATGACCTGAGCTGAAGGCAGACGCTTAACGACTGAGCCACCCAGGCGCCCCAAATTTTAAAGATTTTATTTATTTATTTGATAGAGAGAGGGAGAGCACAAGCAGGGGGAGTGGCAGGCAGAGGGAGAGGAAGAGGCAGGCTCCCCGCTGAGGAAGGAACCCGACGTGGGGCTCGATCCCAGGACTCTGGGATCATGACCTGAGCCGAAGGCAGCCACTTAACCAACTGAGCCACTCAGGTGCCCCTCTAAAGTGAATTTTAAAAAGGCATCCTTGAGACCAGTGGGGACGACAGCACTCAATTACTGTTGTTGTGCTCAGATGTAATTGTGTGGAACACTGACATTTAGGGCCAGATAATGCTCCTGAGAGCTCAGCAGCACCCTGGTCCCTGCCCACTAGGTGTCAGGGGCACGGCACCCTGTCAGTTGCAACACGTAGAAATGTCTGAGAAACTTGTGGAATTAGGTAGTACTAACAGTTGCATCACGTCACGAATATACAAAAACACACTGGACTGTACATTTGAAAATGGTTAAAATGGTGAATGTTACGTGATGTGAATTTTTTCTCAATAAAGAATATAATTTAAAAATGTCTGCATTGGGCATTGTCAAATATCCCCTGAGGGACAAAATCACCCCCAGTGGAGAACCATTGGTGCGGAGAGTACAGCGCTTGGGGGGCGGGGATGCAGGCTTGAAGGCTTTAGGAAGGAAATGTCTTGTTTGTAACTTACTTTCTTTTTTTTTTTTTTAAAGATTTTATTTATTTATTTGACAGAGAGAGACACAGCGAGAGAGGGAACACAAGCAGGGGGAGGGGGAGAGGGAGAAGCAGGCTTCCCACTGTGCAGGGAGCCCGATGTGGGGCTTGATCCCAGGACCCTGGGATCATGACCTGAGCCGAAGGCAGTCGCTTAACCGACTGAGCCACCCAGGCGCCCTGTAACTTAATTTCAAAGAGCAGAAGTGGCAAAATGTTAACCATTGGTGAAACTAGGTGTCAGATGTGTAGGTTGTTCATTTTACTATTCTGTGGACTTTGTATAAATTTGAAATTGTTCAAAACCAAAAGAAAATACAGCTTTGAAATTTCTGCTTACAACATCCCAAGGGACCCATGCTAGGTGCCAATTGTGTGGCCTCCATTCAGACAGATTTTTAAGTGCCTACGTGGGTTGGGTTGCTCAGTCCTCATTCCTTCAAGGGAAGACTCTTTCCTTATCTCTCATCCCCCCTTCCTCTCTGTCTCTTGTCTCTCTCTTCTCTCCTGTCCTATCCCACTCCAAGGCTGCCTTGAACACACTAGCCCTGTGGCACCACTGACCTGTAGAGAGAAAGGCATCCCATCCTGTGGACAATCATCCACCCAGACTAGGTGCAGATCATGGGCTCTGTCAATTCCTTTGTGGTGAGTATTCTCCCCTGTGGTGACTTTAAAACATGATCACAAAATTCTCTAGCACTGGTCCCAGTAAGAGACAGGGTCTCTGTCTCCTCTCCTTAAATAGGAACTGCAACTGCTTAAGGCACAGAATAGTGTGGAAAAGCCTAGTATCTGCCGTTTCCTGTCTCTTT